CCCAGATCTCCAGATGCATTTGAGATATCAAAAAAGTACTCCAGGGTGTTGTTCTGCATGGGGGTGAGTACAAAATGAAGGCTAATCATGTTTTGGGTGTACTATTCCTTTAAACCGTGCAACATTTGTGTCACTTCCAACCAGTTTGCCAATTTTATCCTGACATTAACCATGCTTTTTCGTCAATTAGCTGACGCTCCCTCAATTCTTTTTCCTTTTTTTTGTGACAATTTTCCTCCGAGAAGATGCGGTTACTGTGCAAAAATCCCATTTTTACAGTCTGGAATACACATATTATCATGTTTGTTGTGAAAAACCAGGCCATGTTCAAAATCCCCCATATGGCTTTTCCTTCCCTTTCATCTTATTTTCTTCATCTTCAGCACGTTTCCACTATAGTTTCAAGTAGCATATTTTTAAGAAATAAGCAAATTTAAATAGTTATAATCAAAATAAATAAATTAAATGTTTTTATTTTTTCTAAAATAGTTCAGTAAATTTTATCCAATTGAGGTCCTACTATGAAAATGTGAATATTTTTTACCTTTTACTTTTATTTAGATGGGAATCAGTTCTTCCTTCCGGCTTTATTTCGTCTCTTTTTGTCAAACTTGACGCACCGTTTTTGCGCCGCAGAGAGGCGCAGTAGCAGCGGGGCGGAGTGGCCCCGGGCCCCCACCTACCTTTTAATGGAATTCTGCAAACGTGTAAAGGCTGGCTGAGAGGGCCCTCCCCCATGTTTTAACTAAGGAAACCCCAAGTTTCCACTATTTTAGTTGGCTTGAACCAAACTAACTTTATTTTATTAAGGCTTAGTTCATTTGATTTTATTTCTTTTCTTTTCTTTTTTGTTCTTGTGTCTCAATTTACTCACATAACGTCAGAAATAAGATATAGGCAATAATATGTTCTACTAGTTTAAATCAGAAATGTTTATAGTTTCAACTGCACAGATTGTCTTACTATAAATCACAATGGAGTTTAGTTAACTTTACTTGAAAGTAAAAAAAAGTACAAAAAACATTTTAAAATTTTAAAGAAATGTTAAAGTTATGTTTTAATGTATTTTTATAAATGCAATGTGAGAAATAAATTGTAGGAAAAAAAACAATTTTAAATGCACAGCTTATAACTTTGGGATTGACAGGGTGTTTTTGAAAGTGATTATGACGTGACAGAACAAACTTCAGAAAGTTTTAGTCCATTTTTCCTTGCGGTCCAAAGTGTTGCTTGCAGTCAAGTCAGAGATAAAAATCCACATTTCTACAGAAAACAGGAAGTTTCACTTTAAAAGTATTTTTCCAAGAGTTAAAGCGGTTATTACCTAAGGAGCTAATATCCCCATCCTTTCGTTACATAAGTTATAAGCTTTTATTTGGAATGTTTTTATTTAAACGCTTAAAGCAAAATCGAAATTATAAGGTTGACTTTAGGGGAAAATATATTTTTTAAATATATGCACTGTTTGGAAAGCTTTTATTTTGAAAGTCTTTTCCCAAAGATACATGATTTTAGTCTCTTATTTCAACAGGGATTTTGGGATTTTACAGCCTACGTGCGGGTAGACATGATCTAACCCTGTTAAAAGAAGAAAAGGGAAGTCTGCTGGATCCATTGAAAGCCAGAGAGGACTCCCGCTGGAGCCGGGGAATGGGGATGATGCTCCTCAGAAGCTTGTGTCTGTCTCTCCTTCTGCTCTCCTCGGTGGAGGCTCAGTATGAGAAGTACAGCTTCAAAAGTTTTCCCCAGAAGGACATCATGCCGCTGGAGTCCGCGTACAATTACGCGCTGGAGCAGTACGGGGCGCAGAGCTGGGCAGAGAGCCTCCGGTACCTGGAGCTCAGCCTGCGGCTCCACCGGCTGCTGCGGGACAGCGAGGCGTTCTGCGCCCGCAACTGCAGCAGCGCCAGCCGGGACGGAGACTCCCTGCGCCCCGACAGCAGCCTCCGCGTTGTGCGCCACATCCTGCTGAGGGCTGCCTGCCTGAAAAAGTGCAAGGCAGATTTCCCCATTTTTAACTTTTCATATCCGCGGAGGGATTTATTGGAAACTTTTGAGAAAAGAATACCGTATCGGTACATTCAGTATGCTTATTATCAGGTGAGAACTGAGAGTTTTGATTTGGGTCAAAATAACCTGGATGCTGATTCTATGCATGATTTACAGGGATGTTTTATTACCTTTATCACTCTACCATATTTCCAGATATAGTTCACATGTTGCAGATTAAAAGCTTTAAATATGGTTCCATCTGCATGTGTTTGTGGCTTTGATAAATAAAGGAGGTGCGCACTCAGCTGGACTCCCCTCTGTCAGAAATAAGGAGAACAGTTGCTTTGTTGCGCCCTCCTGCAGATCAAACTGAGCATGTGCCACGTCTCTTCCCGTGGTCACCTGAAAACAATCCCCCCATTTTTCTCTCAGTCACTCAGAATTATGGGAAATCTATTAGTCTGTCCTTAATAATGCCAAACCTCCTCCTTTATATTTTTGTTTCTTACAATTGTCTGAAGTGCTCCTAATCAGGATTTTCTTCAGATCTTCAAATGTTTAGAAACATGTTATTCTAATAGAGCTTTTACACATTTAGCCTACATATAATTACCACAAAAAAAAACTACTATTAATAAGTCTGTTTTTTTAAGTGATTTTATGCAACTTTGATGTTTAAAAATCAATCATGTATAGTCGTCAAATCTAAGGGATTATCTTTGCCTTAACATAGAGAAATAAAACATAAAGAAAATAACAATAGATTATTTCTTTTGGGGAGCTACCACATATGTATGATTAAGCGTTTTATTTATTAACAAATATTGCATTACAGCGGATTAACTTAAATGGACAAAACTAGTGTTGCACCGATACCAGTATCGGACGGGGCCCCGATACTGCCCTAAAATAGTGGTATCGGTATCGGCGAGTACCAACAAATAGGGCACCGATACCATTTTGAGAGCCATAAGTTAATTCAACTATTGTCACCCATTCCAGGTAGGCAATAAAAAGTTCTACTGGGTTCACTTTGTATTAGATGTTTTCCTGCTTCACAATGGTAGGCAGCAGCTTGACAAAGCCATGATGGCAATTATTTTACATTATTATGGTATAGGTATCGGCCGATACTGCACAGCCAGGTATCGGTATCGGGGCCAAAAAATGGCATTGGCGCAACACTAGACAAAACACATAGATATACACTAAAAACAACATTATTTCACCTATATACTAAGGAATACTTAGGAGTATTTAAAGAAACCAAGAATTAAGAAACAAGCTTTAAAACACTGATATACCTGATCAAGAGTGTAAAAATACTAAGATATTCTAAGATGCTCAATAGCAAATAGGTTTTTGTGTCCTAATTGTTCATTGTTATTATACTGGGAAGATGGATACCCTAATTTAAAAAGTTGGAAAAATAAAAATAAACTCCCCTGAAGTTTGCATTCCAACTCACAGAGAAACCCAAAATTTGATAGTTTGGCATCTAAGCTACATGTAAATTACTTATTACAAATTAAATATTACAAATGACATATTTTGTTTCACACCTTATATCCATTTTAACAAGCGAAGCACTTAGTAAAGGAAAATATATGTTTGTTAAAGCATTCCTGTGAGTTTCAATAAGTAAATCAAATAGCTTTTAATGCTAACAACGCTTAGAGACCAATAAAAAAACTGATTAATGACTTCCACACTGATCCAGACAGATTCAGTTCAGATAGATGTTTTGGAGTTCATGTCTCAGCTCCATACCATACTTCTATGGTTGAATTGATCCAGTAGGAGGTGAATAAATCAATCAGATTCAGACTAGGTACTCCACCTGCAGCTGATTGACATCAACACAGTCATTACAAATTTAATCCACTGCCCTTTTAATCCTAAAGATGTTCCCTTATGGCCATTAGATGAATCTAGTTCAACTTTACAGATCTCAACCGTCCAACACTTGAAACAATAATCCTGAATGGATTTTAAAGTGCTTTATAAATAAACAATGATGATGATGAGAATGCTTTTAAATTCCAATGTACCGTATAAATTTTATTGACGAAAACACTGCATTTATATTTAAACCTTTTGGATTTTAAATAGCACCATAAGAATAGCCTCATTAATAAAACATGCTTTTTTTTTGCAAGGTCCTGGTTAAATATGTTTTTTATTGCACTGTTAGGTATCTTCTTATGACTTTCACATAATCTGCAAGAACACAATGAAAACTCTGGTTTAGAAAACTCTGGGAAGATCCTTTTTCTTTTTTTTTTTTTTTTGTTTAAAAACTATTATATCCTAATGTTGCAGCTGGGGCTCCGGAAGAGCTCTGCATTTGAATATTAACCATGAACCATGAACAGTGCTCTCAAGAATGTTGAATAAGAGAAAAGATTTCTCTTGCAGAGCATATACTGGAATTGAATCCTAGCAAGCTTGTTAGGTCCTGATTTGACAGATCCTGCAGCCATTGGATTAGGTCCATGGTTCTCCAATGCTGATTATAAAGCGAAAGCGAGTGTAAAGCGAGCCAACGTTCCCATGGCTCCTAAACTCAAAAGAGGGACAAAACAAAACAAGAACCTCAAATTCCGAAATCTAAAAATAAATATAGCTTCAACAATGAGGATTCT